GAAAAGTGAAGATTAATAAGACAAATTTAATTTTCCTGCCCGTTTCTAGCTTGCACGTAGAAGCTTCCAAAACTTATCTTGAGACATGTGTAACTAATGTTGGATGCGGTATAACAAGCAAACCCAAAATACCTCGAAATTTATAATGCATAAGGACATCAAACAAGAAAAATTCGGATGAAAGATAAAAAAAAAAAGCTAGAAACCTCCAGCAAGCGAACCATCATCGCCACACAGAGGTGTTATTGGTGGATGATCGCCTTTATCTTCACCAGCACGAGGCTTTGTTATTCCTTCTGATATCAGCTGGAATAAAACATTAGAAGACTATATATTATCAAGTCGTAAAATCGTAATGTTTATAATAGAACAAGGTAATTTACCGTCACAGGGGGCACAGGGGAAAGCTTCCCTTAACCAAAAAAAAAGCAGAGAAATGAGGAGCGAGAAAGCAGCAAGTCGATCATCATTTGGATTTTCTTTTATTTTTTACTTTTTCGGAAACCTGGAGACCCCCAAGAAAATAATGAACAGCAAGATGAGTAGCAAACTGATCGCTTTATGTTACAGTTTTGACTGTAACGAAAATGGCAAGGTAAATTGTCTACGGAAGCATATTTAGACAAAAAAGAGAAATGATTCGAGGAAGCGCATACCTTCCTTACAACATCTTTCCAACGACAATCATTTTTCTGGTGATGTAAAGCTTCCATAAAATCGAAATTTGATGAATATGCGGTGGTTTCAGTTCGTGGATAACTTATGAAACCCTGGAAAAACTATTTAGCTATTACGCAAAACTATTTACCCAGCAAAACCGTGTGCTCAACGTGAGAATGCTTGGGAATGAGCTGGCTACAATTAACACACATCCACCCCCCACCCCCTCCCACACAACACACACACACACGCACACACATACGCACACACATACACACAGGCAACCCCTTGACAATATGAGTTTTGTACTGCTGTTACACAGCAAAAAACGCATACAAAGCAAAAATCTGCTCACAAACCATAACAAGTCGATAGCATCGGAGGAAATTCTAGAACCTAAAAATTAATAATTTAAAATCAAATGAAATGGATGAAAAACGGATACCCGAGTGTAGAGATATTCGGCTGTGTTCATTGTCTGTGCTGGGCTAAGACCTAAGCCGCTACTGCAAACACGTAACAATTCAACGGTGTTCAGAGCATGCGGGCGTTCTCTTCGTGATTCCGAACTGACCACATCAACAACTACGCCCTGATCGTGCTTCTAAAATAAGAAACTGTTGGAACAAAGAAAGAAAATTTTTTTCGTATAATTTTTTTATAATTTATAATAATTTACAATAATTTATTTATAACATAGTTTATAAAAATAATTTACAGTAACTTATTCATTAAAAAAATTTTTATATAAAAATAAATAATTTGCTGTAAAAATGCTGAAAGATCCACCTAACGGCGATGCCCTAACACCCATTCCGTTTGATGAAATTCTATTTTATCAGTCATAGTCCGTGGTTTTCCCTTCACAAACATTGTAAATTGGTATATTAATCCCATACTGTATTCTTTTTTTAACCTAATGCAAAATATGCAAGAATAAATTTGTTCATTCGTATTTTAAAACGAAAAAAAAGTGTGCAAATTTGAGGAATTTCTCTGCTAGATCAATGATCAGGAAAATGGCAAAAAACCTGAGAAATGAGAAAAAACAACTAAATTACCTACGTACTTTTATTCGATTTAGAAACAACTCTGAAACATCCTTGTCGAATATGCGTCCTCTCGAATGCTTCGGATACAGGAATTCTCCTGATGGAGTTTCAAAAATTGCCTGTAGAAAAAAAAACCAAAATTTTTACAAACAAAATCAAAATTCTATGATTGAATTTCAAAAAAACTGTAGAAATTACAAAAGTTAAAAAGCAAAAACTTTACAAGCAGCATATAAATCGACTTTTCTTTTGATCAAACAAAACTTTATTACCTCAATAATCCAGTATGGTTCGGGTTTGAACTGTGTAATCTGGTCATGACGAGTGACGCAAAAACCAAGTGTTGGTGTCTGGCATGGTCCAAATGATATTGTTGCGCTATCCAGATCACCGTACTTCCCCTAAAAATCGCTTGATAACCATTAAAAAACGCTAAAACTAAAGTCCCCTCCCCCTCCCCGCCCCGCTCCTCCCATAATTCACTCTTTATAAGAGGTAGCCTGACTGATAGTACACATCTACAGCCATCAAATCCCGACACGGTTATCGACGGCTCCCCCTTTCGAAGGATATTTTTAAAAAAAGCTGAAAGTGTTTTTGAGAATTTAACATGTACTAGTAAGAATTTACCACCAATAAAGATTATTTGGACATGTGGATCGTTCTAGCGCTTGAGGTGTAAGAATTCTTTAAAGAAAAATGAAAATCAGCCAAATTACATTGTATCAAAAAACTTTTTTGCTGCAAACACTAGGTTCGCCCGAATAATCGATGTAACGGATCAAATACTGGATAATGTAAATGCTATGCTCTTGTACACCATCTGCAACTACGCCAATCTCTCTAATCCTGGATCGTACACCTTCACTTCATGCCCAATATCCATTTGATCTGTAACGTTCGGGCGGAGGAGGAGCTGGGGGATCCGGTGGCAGCTTGGAGCTGTTGCCGGGCGGATCCCGGGCTAATCGACTTTTTTTCTTAACTGTTTTTCTTTTGTGTGATTGAACTGATAAAGAAGTGAGTCCTAATTGCTTGGTGCTGCACTTGCCCGCTAGGCAGGCACCTCCAGCTCCTCCTCCGCCCGAGCGTTACAGATCTGTAA